TGCAAGAAGACGTCGGTTCGAATCCGACCGGATCGAAGGAATTTTTTCTGAGTGTTTTTTCTGAGTGTTCGATCTTTGTATTAATAATTATAACAAACTAGTGGAGTAATTTCACAAAAAATAATTGAATATCAATTCAATAAAAATTTAATTAATAGAAACTCTGTTTAAAAAAGCTGAAATGAAAAGGTTTGTTCATCATTCCCAATAGGTTAAAAAAAGTCCATGGAACTTGAAGGATGCAATCACAACACACTAAAACTTACTGTCGACTCTTATTCTCTTCATTAAGTCCTTGGAAGTTTTTCTGGAAACGTCAACAGTTCTCACTATTGCTGTATATTACCTATTACAATTCCGAGTGTACCTCTGTCCACGTATTGTAAGGATCACTAACTCATGAAAGATTTTGTTTGTTTCTTTTGTACAACTTACATTAATGGCGTAATAGTTATAGTCAAGATTACCGCCAGAAAGAACAGCCTGCGGAATTTCAACCACAGAGCTTTAACTTAGACAGGCATAATCTAGGTACTGATGTTGCCCTCTATCGGCAATGACTAGAACGTAGCACTATGGGAGCGACCAGCGAACGGCCGGGCTCTAGATGCAGTTCCTCTGCTTGCGATCCGTTGTCGTTGAAGTAACATTTATCATTCATAGATGGCAGTGCAACGTACAGAAGGGTCGAATAGGAGGAAATGGTAAAAATAAGAGGAGTCAACATAAACACATAATCGTCAGCTAAATTTGGAAACCGTAACTCCGTTTCTGGACGCAATCCCTTTTTTACTTTTCAAGCGTAATATCGGGCAATTAAAATATAATTTGTACAGCTTCTTTTTAGTTATAAAGTAAAGGTACTTATAATCATAGATTGTCGAGTTTCTCGTTATATACTCGATAATTGGAGGTATCGAGATGGTACCAAGTAAACTCGCGATGCGATTGTAATAATATTCGACCAGATGGCAGTTTCGAGAATAAACGAAGAAATCAAAATCTATACAATTTATTGCAAACTAAGAAATCAAAAAGTCGACCATTGAGAAACCTTCGATTTGTTATCTTTTCAACGGCACTTTACTCTTTTCACCAATTGTCATAATTGTAATCGATTTTTTACTCCCCTAAAATGTTGTTTATATACTTTTGCATTTCTTTTCCATATTTTATACTTCTTAAGAGGGAGCATGCCAAAAAAGTTTTGACGTTGGCTCCGCCCAAATTTGTGAAACATATAATATGCCTGAAGTTCGCATGACATGCGACAGGAGATGTTGAATTTTGCGCATTAAAAGTACCAAATTAGTTTTAGCGGAATAACTCTAAAAGTAAAGGGATTAAAAAAAATCCGTAGTGACAGTTCTCGATCATGCATAAATATAATTGATTATCAAATTTTTGTCCTAATAACCTAGTAGCATTTCGAGAATGAATCGAAAAAATTTGAAAATTAGAGGTCATTTCGTGATTTTTATCTATCGAGGAAACTTTATTGTTTTATGTTTCTGATTAATGTCTATGCTTGAATATATTGTGTAGTTCCTCATACAATATTTTATTTTTAACTTTAAAGTGGATATACCCGTCTAAAATCAAATCGAAGATTAGGAATTTTTCCTCTGCTCCCTCTTAATTAGTATGACATACCGCAAATTTTCGAGATTCAATACTGCATATTTTTTATTTTATCCAAGTGTCGCCATCCACAGTTTTAATTATGTACTAAAGGTAATTTGTACGGATTGATACCCCATGTTTATTATTGTATATATTTCGGGGAAAAATATTTAATTAATTAATAAATTGTGGTACTTAGAAAACATTCTTGAGGTGAAAACTGTAGAAATCATATGTTTTTGTTTATTATCATTTATTCTACATCGAATTTGGCTATAGTTACTTTTAGGGCACTTTCAAATAAGACGTTTGCTACAGTAATTTTGTGTTACTAATTGTGATTGCAAAAATATTGTATGAAAATTGGATGCCGACAATCAACAACGTGTCAACCTACAATCATGATCGTAGTTTTTTTGTAAAAATGGCACCTACATTTTTTCGTTGTTTCTGATAGTTTGTTCTAAAATTTACTTGTAAAATGAAAACGCTGTTGTCACCTCAGGAATGATGAATTGCTGTGATTTGTTACTACAATTTATATTTAGTAGCAGTAGCGAGAGAGAAAGAGAACGAGATCGTCCAGGGAAGTACTCTCACCTTACCTATTTCTGCCGCCGAGATCTGGTTTCGGAGAATAAGGGTTCCATTTCACTAAAAGTCCTTCCCAAGCCCCCTCGTCAGATAATGGAAGATCGAGATAGATATGTTATTAAGTCAATTGACGTTGACGGTGCTGAAGCATTTCGTAAGGTACAAAACATAGACAAACTAATGGTTAAAACAACAAAAACTGTGGCCATAGTTAGTGCGTTGTTTCATTTACAAGTTGTTACGGCACGCTCTGATTTAGTGCAATCGCTGGGCGTGAGCTAAGGTATGTATGGGACTTGTAAACGTATGTCTCAGGGTGACAGGTGCAGTGGCAGTGCCCCTCAGATCTTTGTGATTTAAAGCTCTGAGTGGCACTGCAACTGTTAGGGACAGGTGCTTACCACCTTGCACACGATTTGTTCGTCCCGTCGTTTAGTATTTAAAAAAAAATCCCCAACAACAAGAAGCACAACAGCAAAATTTCTATTTCATAAGCAAATTTTAGAACAAACTATCAAAAACAACGAAAAAACCTTCAGGTGCCGCGTTATTGCTTATTGTGATGAAATTTTAAATTTTTTTTTTTTTCACTCTTTTTCAATTTGATATCTTTATATAGCTTTATCGAGGCGGCATACTACGGGGGCTGGTGACCTGAAATACACGCTGTGAGCCTAGTTTAGGCATCAGTCTCCCACAATATCTTTATCATAGTTTAGTTTGTACTTTTATGTTCACTGTAATGTGGTGAGAAAATAAAGAATGTATTATTAAAGTATTTATTTTATACACAAGCTGTTACAGTAAAGAGATGTTACAGTATGATTTGAAAAGTGTAATGTTCGCCTCTAATGAGCAATAAACAAAGCTGTGGTCTGTAACAGACAACGCTCTGCGCTCTGCGCTCTCGCTCGATATCTTCGCCGTCCCCAAGTATCCCAAATTTTCAAAGAACAATGGTAAAATCATAGTTCAAAGAATTCGTTACTTCGTCGTTCGTTACTTTGAAGACTCAAAGTAATTTGTGATTGTTTATGTGTGTCCATGGCACCCGCGACATTGGGTTTCCCTAGTGTTAAGTGTATGCGTTATGTGTGTTGGTAGCTGTAAGAGTTTAGTAATCTAAATTTGTTGCTTTACTGTCGCATTAGGTTAAACTTGTCATGATAGTTTAAGTGTTTTTAAAAATAAATAAATATGTATTCATTTTATTTTTTAGTTAAATAGTAGATGGTATAATATGATTAAAATGAAGTTATTTTAATTTGTATGTAACTGACAATAGTATAAGTAGCTAAACTTAACACCAGTGATCCAAGGTGGTGCAAATAAGACGTTTACTATTATTATTACTGTCACTGTCACTGTCACTGACACTGATACTGACACTGTCTCTACCTCTGCCACTGTCACTGTCCCGGCTACTGTCACTGTCACGTCCACTGTCACTGTCCGGGCCACTGTCACTGTCACGTCCACTAACACTGTCCCGGTCACTGTCACTGTCCTGGCCACTGTCACTGTCACGGCCACAGTCACTGATACTGTCACTGACACTCACTGCCACTGCCACTGTCACTGTCACGGCCACTGTCACTGATACCGTTACTGACACTGTCTGTGCCACTGCCACAGTCACTACCACGTCAACTGTCACTGTCACTGATACTATCACTGACACTGTCACTATCACTGCCACCGCCACTGTCACGGTCAATGTCACGGTCAATGTCACGGCCACTGTCACTGACACTGCCACTATCACGGCCACTGTCACTGACACTGTCACTGCCACTGTCACTGTCACGGCCTTTGTCTCTGTCATGGCTACAGTCAATGTCACCGCCACTGTCACTGTCACTGAGACTGAAACTGATACTGTCATTGTCACCGCCACTGCCACTGTCACCGCCACTGTCACGGCCACCGTCACTGTCACGGCCACTGACACTGAAACTGTCACTGCCACTGAAACTGTCACTGCCACTGCCACTGTCACGGCCACTGTCACTGATACTGTCACTGCTACTGCTCCTATAACTGTTATTATTATTATCATTATTGTAATAAGTACCTTGACAATGTGTGTAATAATAAATCTACGCCACCTAGTTAAAGTCTAGGCTAGCTAAAATCCAGGTAAAAGTCACATTATTGTGGACATTTTAGGTGAGTTATTTTTATTACAGCTCGATGTCATGAAGGGAACTTCATGGGAGTGGAGTCGTGTAAGCCAAAACCTTTTATACATCCATGTGACCCCCCACCAGAATGTGTTCCTGGAGCGCCGCAGAGGGAGCGTTGCCCCAAAGTGGCACTGTGTCTGGAAAAGATCAAAAATCCCGCACCAATTGCCATCAGATGCCCAAATCCTCATGATGCGTATGTTTTTTTTTTAAATCAATATCATTCCGCAGCCATTTACTCTTTTCTGTTAGTGGAGGCGTGTGACCGTAAAGCTAACTACGGTGTTCAAGGTTTAACATTCGCTACCAGCGCCGGCGCAATTTCAAACACAGGAGGTGACGACGTGTATTCCTAAGTATAGCGAACGTTTATAGGTTGGTTTGGAAAAATTTTAGCGATTTTTTTATGATAACGTCTGGCGCACTATAACTTTCCGGAATGAATAAGAAAAAAATACTATGAATGGTCAGAAATGAATTTATTGTTTCTCAAGATATTGTTCATTAGCGTTAATGCACTTTTTAATACTAATGAACCAATTTTGAAAACATTTATGCCGCTCCTCCGTGACAATCTCTGAAACTTATTTTTCATACTCTTCGACAGCCTCTTCAGGTGAAGAAAATCATTGACCGCTTAACTGGTTCTTAATTTTTGGAAATAAATAAAAGTTCCAAGGTTTGGACTGTACGCGCCAGTACGCGCCGCGTACAGGCCAGATTGGGACTGTACGCGGGATGGCTCATAAGGTCAACGTTGTTAACCTTCAAAAATTCATTTATCTGTCTGGCCGTGTGAGAACTGGCATTATCGTGGTGCAAGATGATACGGCGTTTACGATTATTTGTAAACAAATGGTCGTGTATCAATCACTATTCACGGTACAACGATTCTCCAAAGCAACAGTAGCCACGTGTCCAATTTTATTTAAAAAAGAAGCAATCTGCTTAGAGGCACTTTGCACGCGCGCCACTTTGGTTGGTTTCGGCTCATCTCGGTAGACCTATGGGTCTCGATTGCGGCTTTGTTTTGGGATCGTAACTATAAATCCATGTCACCTGTTACTATGTCCCACATCAAATTTGACACCCCTTCATTGAATCTGGTAAGCATGGCATTGCACCAAGTGGCGCGATCCAGTGAGTTAAGCTACTCGCCTGTCTATAACAGTTGCTGTGTCATTTAGAGCTTTAAATCGCAAAGATCCGAGGTACACTTCCTCTGCGCCCATCACCCTCAGACATAAGTTGAAAAGTTCCATGTGCCTGTAATTTCTCCAGCACCTTAACCCTTCAAAACCGTAACGAAGTCTCTGAGTTTTTTACTTTTTGCAAACAAAGAACTGGCTTGAGGCAATCTCCTTCCACGGGCTTTTGAGCTACTGAGCTCTTGGTGTCCCGTCTTTTATTCCCTCTAACTAGCAACTTTTAATCATCATCTTATATGGAAAAGGTTCCAATTTCTGTAACAGTTAATGCCTTCATGTTCCACTTTCCGGAAGATGCCCAAATAATGGACCATTTTCAGTAATTACTTCAACAGTTTTCTTTCTTTCTCTATTTCTTTTTCAATTAGACGAAAATTTAATAGCAGTGGAGCACCTCGTGAAAGAGTTCGTGAGTGTGATCACACATTACGGCTTGGCGGCAGAAATAGGAAAGGTGGCACTACTTCCCTGGAGGAACTCTTTCACAAGAAGCTATACTGTAATTATTTATTAATTACATGTGTGTGTGTGTGTATGTGTTGTATATATTTATTTATTATCATTTTTCTACAGTTACTCCCAGTCCCTCTGTGAGAATGCAGGCCTGTGGCAGAATCCGCCAATTTGCGATAACGACAATGTCCAAAAGTGTGAAACAAGTGTGAAAAATACAAATGATCCTTGCGTGACACCCAAAAAAGAGGATAAGAAACAAAAAGATAAAGTTATTAAGAAATGTTAGTTACTCCGAGAAAAACTTGAGTTCTATAACTTGAGTGATCAAGTTCAAATACCATGTGCTTTCTACAGGACGCTTCTTAAACCATTCTAGGAATATATCATTTGTTCTACGGCTCTTCACGCCTTTCAGGCATTATAATAAAATGAAACAGTGTAAAGGCGGTTTCCCATGGTCCGTGAAGCCACGGGCCCCGCCGCGGCGCGCCTATTTGTACGGACAAGCTCGAGCCATAGCCCCATACATGTCAGCGTGCGCCGGTACGGGCAGCCATGTTCCCACGTGGCGGTGGTGCGAGCTCATGCGGCGCGGTCCGTGACAACACGGGCAGCGGGAAACCGGCTTATACGCGAGATATACACGAGACTATCACAAAACAATAAAAAAGTACCTCATACATAATTGTTTTTTATTAATTATATTATTATCATCATTAGAATAAAATCCTAAGAGTCATTCGAATGCACACCCGATACTACTGAAGTTTGAAACATGAAAATGTTGACAGTAACTTCTTTATATGACGTAATAACACAGGCTGTTGGAAATATTAATTCGCCTGTAATGTAAGGGTGCGTTCCCACTATGTCGTCACGTTTTATTATCGTTGGACGACTGTCGTGTCTAGCCTGTTCCCATATCACGACTATCTGTCGTGAACGATTTTTTATCGTTGAACGGCTGTCGTGACTAGCTGTTCCCACTAGATCGTGACGACAATTTATCGTTTCACGACAGCCTCCTTGCCCATTTCTGGCTACAACCCAACGCTAGAGCAAAGCGAGCAGAGGGCGCGGGGTACGAGAGGGGAGGGCAGGGAGCAGAATACGTGCGGACAGCGATAAATAAAACGTGACGACAATAGAAGCTGCGACAATCTGTCGTCACGTTTTTATCGTGACTTTTTTTATCGTCTGACGACTGTCGTTCTGGCTGTTCCCACTGTGACGACAGTTTGTCGTTGTAACGATAAAAAATCGTAAACGACAGTCAATCGTGTCGTACTATATGTGAACAACTTCATTTAAATATACAAGCCACGACACTGTAAACTGCACGACAATCTGTCGTCACGACATAGTGGGAACGCGCCCTAACATTCAAGATTCGTTTTCGAGCATTACATTACAAACTACCTCCTTCACCGACAGTTTGTAAGGCTGCGACTTTACCAGATTACCGGATAAGTATAGGAAATTTTACAAGTCTCAACTTGTAAAATTGTCTGCGAGTCTCCGCGAGTACCTTTGAGGACCCGCGAGTATTAGTTTTGAAATCGCGCGCCTGATGGTAAGATACACGCCTGTCCACAATAGTTGCAGAGCTTTAAATGGCAAAGATTTAAGATCACTGATCTCAATCACTGCCACTGCGCCTGTCACTCTGAGACGTAAGTTGACAAGTCTCGTGTGCCTGTAATTTCACCAGCACCTTTACCCTTCAAAACCGGTACACAATAATGCTGACATTACTGCTTGGAGGCACAAACAGGTAAGGTAGCAGTACTTGCATTCAGTGGCGATTGTCCAGAGAGGCGCAAATGGGAAGCCATAGCGAGAGCCACTGTGGCATATTGCTAAAGTGGTCCCTGTTGCAGAAGACACCAGTAGACAAAACCCAGGTAGATATTTAGTGGTCCAGGCAAATCTGCAGGAATGCCAGCTAGCAACAGCCGAACTAGTGACGGAGGCAATATCAAGGAAAATCACAGTAGCCTTGATACAAGAGCCATACATTGGGTCTACGGGGAGGATGAAGCCCTACGCCGGAGTCAAAGTAGTGCAATGCCACTGCATTGGAACCCAGTTAGCGTTAACAAAACGGCCATTGCGCTCTTTGATGATACTGTAGACATTATCCAGTGCCCCACGCTCACTACACACAATATCACTGTAGTCAAATTAAAAACTAGAGCGTGGGAGGTGGGGCTAGTGTCGATATATTTCGACGGGGACAAGCCCATCGAACCGTACATCCAATGGCTGGCAAAAGTTAAGAACCAATTGGGCACATCAAACATAATAATAGGCGGGGATGTGAATGCCTGGAATACGTGGTGGGGAAGCAGGACAACAGACCACAAAGGCGAGATCTTATCCTGTGCGCTAGACGAATTGGACTTGCAGATACTTAATAAAGGCTGCGAACCCACATTTGATACCGTGAGAGGCGGGAAGCGCTTCATGAGCTGCGTTGACCTCACTGTCTGCTCGATGGAGATGTTAGGACGAGTAGATCACTGGAGAGTGGACAGTCAGATGACTAACGCTGACCATAACGCAATCCTGTTTGAGCTGAAATTAGAAAAATCAGAAGGAATGGACATTAAGCGAACAACGAGACTGTACAATACAAAAAAGACAAATTGGGGAGACTTCGGTGAGAAGTTGACTCTAGTTTGGGAAAATGAAAATATCAATAGAGAAGAAGTAGATAAAATAGCAAACAGTAAAGATTTAGATACAATTGTAGACAAAATTAAAGAAACAATAAGAAAAACATGTGATGAAACAATAGCTAAAGCAAAGAATAAAAAGCCAACAGGATTGCCATGGTTAAATACGGAGCTACTCAAGCTTAAGGGCGAGGTTGCGACAAAGAAGCGTCGGATCAAATGTGCGGCTCCAATTAGACGACAGCGGGTTATTGAGAGCTATCTGCAGGCCAAAGAAATCTACCAAGAAGAAGCCAGGAAAGCCCAAGCGCTAAGTTGGAAGAGTTTCTGCGGAAAGCAAGACCGGGAATCCATGTGGGAAGGTATTTACAGGGTAATTAGCCGAACAACTCAAAGAAGGGAAGACGTACCACTGGTGAAAGATGGGAGAGTCTTGGGAGGAGAGGAATCTGCCAGTTTACTGGCCGAAACCTTCTATCCAAGGGACGAGGAGAGCGAAGACAATGTGGAACACCATAACATCCGCAAAACAGCCGCGGAAGTAAACAATGAGACGCATAGTGAAATATGTGATCCAAGGTTCACAACAGAAAAACTGCAAATGGCAATACTGAGCTTCAATCCCAAGAAGGCGCCAGGAGGAGATGGATTTACAGCAGACATCTGCAAAGCGGCCATTACCCTAAACCCACCGGTTTTCTTAGCCCTTTACAATAAATGCCTCGAGCTAGCCCATTTCCCAACGGCCTGGAAGGAAGCAACAATCGTAGTGCTGCCAAAACCTGGCAAAGACGACTATACTCACCCCAAGTCGTACAGGCCGATTGGACTACTACCGGTTCTGGGCAAGATACTCGAGAAAATGTTAGTGAAGAGAATACGATGGCACACTCTGCCGGGTATGAGCCGCGGACAGTTCGGTTTCACGCCACAGCGCAGCACCGAAGACTCCCTCTATGTCATGATGAGCCACATCAGAAGCCAGCTGAAACAAAAGAAGCTCATCGTACTGGTATCGTTAGACATAGAGGGAGCCTTTGACAGCGCTTGGTGGCCGGCGATTCGCTGCAGGCTTGCTGAATCAAGATGTCCCGTAAATCTGAGGAGACTAGTTGATAGTTACCTCTCCGGAAGAAAGGTTAGACTTAGGTACGCCGGAGCAGAGAGTATTAGGGACACGACAAAGGGCTGCGTACAGGGCTCTATAGGGGGCCCTACGTTCTGGAATTTGTTATTGGACCCATTACTAAAAGAGTTAGAGGACAAAGGGGTACACTGTCAGGCTTTTGCGGACGATGTTGCCCTGATTTTCTCGGGACACAATGCAGCAGAGTTACAAAAGCAGGCTAATGCCACCCTCGAGCGTGTGCGGAGGTGGGGAGTCGTAAACAAGTTGAAATTCGCGCCACACAAGACCCAGGCGATGGTTATTACAAACAAAATTAAGTACGACTCCCCACATCTGACCATGGGCGGGGTGGGCGTTGAACTGTCTCGCGAGATCAAAATCCTTGGCCTTACGGTGGACAGCAAACTCACATTTAACACCCACGTGACAAACGTCTGCCGGAAGGCCTTAAACCTTTATAAACAACTCTCCAGAGCCGCGAAAATAAATTGGGGGCTGCATTCCGAGATAATCAGGACAATATACAACGCAGTGGTTGAGCCTACGATAGGGTACGCAGCGAGTGCGTGGGCCACGACAACGAACAGGGTCGGAATCAGGAAGCAACTCGATACGGTCCAAAGAGGTTTTGCACAAAAAATTGTAAAGTCATATAGGACGGTGTCACTGCCCTCGGCGTTATTGCTCTCCGGTCTGCTTCCACTGGATATTAGGATCCGGGAAGCAGCCTCTCTTTATGAAGTGAAGAAAGGCCATTCCCGGAGAGCAATAGGTGATCGGGAGCTAGAAAGACCAATACCTTATATCGAGCAACCTCACCCCGCTGAACAAATAGGTATTGACTTCTTATGCCTGGGGGACGGCGCAGCTCTGGAACAGCATGACAACCATGGTCGGAAAATCTACACAGACGGAAGCAAAATAGAGGGGAAAGTCGGTGCTGCATTATCCATATGGGATGATGCAGCAGAGATAATGATGAACACAGACAGTAGAGACAAATTTCTAAAGTTTTCCAAAGATATAATTAGAAAGGTAGTAAATAAAAATAAATAGGTATCATCAGGCTCCCTCCTCTTTATATTTGAATATATAAAGCAGGAAGCCAAGTACAAAATAAAACAGATACAATAATATAAATAAGGATACAAATAGAAAATAAATAGTACGCAAGATAATGTAAAACTAGAATTTTAAGAAACAAAAGTAAATGTAAAAATTGTAAAGAAAGGCTAACATCTATATGAAGAATATACCCCTAGGAAACCCTGTAATGTAAAAATTATAAAATAGTAAAATAAGATAAAACAGAACTGTAGTATTGTATAAGAGAAATGTAATAAATAGGAACGAATGTAAGATAAAAAAGTAGTGTATATAAAGTAATTAGTGTGTAAGCGATGTTATAGTAAAGAAATAAATTGCAACCCAACTCCATGCAAAATCCTCCCTGAATTGACGAAAGAGCCATACAACATTGTATCGGTTCTCGATCGATTCTGTAAAGTAAAAATAATAAAAAATTGTTAATAAATATTTCGCCAAAAAAGGTCTCTGCTAATGGTAGAGGTTCCCTAGCGAAACATACAAAAAAAAAAAAAAAGGTAGCAGTACTTCCCTTGACGAACTCTTCCCAAGGAGCTCTACTGCTACTTAATCTTGTGCTTGATGTAGGTATTTCATCTGTATTACAAGTCACCAGGCCCCATCCCTTGAATAATGAGACTTAATAACTAAGTAATAAGCAATAGGTGAGTAGATGATTAAAAACTTGTTAAAATAAAATAAAACTATGTAACTAAAAACTAGGACTAGACAGTACTTAATATAAATGTGCGAAGTAGATGCATGTGCGTGCATGCGTGTGTGTGTGTGTGTGTGTGTGTGTGTGTGTGTGTGTGTGTGTGTG